CATGATCTGACCTCCTTGGCCTCCCAAAGTGCTGGGATTACAGGTATGAGCCACGACACTTGGCCAACTTTCAGATTTTTTAACTATTTATAGCCTCATACTATGGCATGGTTGCACAATAACAATCTGGTCAATTTATTAATGCTCATTTTTTAATGTCATGCCGACAAATATAGGTCACTGATGAGTTTGTCAGGTAACTGGCTTTTCATGCATTAGGATGAAGATTTTTGTTTGTTTGCATTTGTTTTCTTCAGCGTCAGGGACTTGGAGCAAGGTCTGATCCCGGCAGGTGCTCTGAACAGTCACTGTGTCAGTGTTTACAGTGGCTGCTCTGCGCCGGACCTAGCGTAGACACCAATGGTGCATTTCATATCTCCCTGGCCTGTACACCACCTCCTTGTCCCATGCCTCCATATCTTCACCTGTAAATGGAATTCGTGGTGACTTCATTGGGCCTTTGTGGAAATTAAACAATAGGCAAAAAGTCTTCATACTTTGTAATGGGTTAAACAATTAACTGTTATTTTTGTTAGGTCTAGAACTGTATGTAGAATTTCCACGTTAGGGAAATGAAGATAGATAGGAAGTTTTAACAGAGAGGGTCAGCAAGCTGTTAGTCCAGGGGGGTATCTCTGGTTTGAAAGGGTACGTCTGTCTCTGCATGGATTTCTAATGACCTATTGCATGGTCTGAAAAGTAGAGTCCAAGTTGACTCAGATTTGCTTCTTAGGAGAAATAAATGGGGAGAGAAGGAGTGTGTTTGGCTTCTCACTGAAGAGCTCTGCCCCTCCCACATTCTGCCCCCAGCATCTCCCCAGCTTATGCATTCCCTACCCAGGGAGTCTCCCTGGCAATAGCTAAGCAAAACTATTGTCCTGTCCTGAGAAATAGCCCACATCCATCAGCAGGCCTGGGTTTCCAGCTTGCCCAGATGAGTGAATTTTCTTCTCATTTTGACTTGTGTATGCCTAGAGCTTCTTAATTCAAGAATCAAATCCCTCAGTCACTCAATAACCCATTTTACCATGTCCTCAAAACTGGTTTTGCAAATAGGCAAAACAACATGGGAGAATTTGGAGTGGCGGCAGGATTTTGAGATGTGTCTGCATTAGCTCAGGGGCCCAGGTTAACCTGCAGGCCCTCTGTAGATGTCTGCCATGTTAGGGCTACACCAGCCTCCTAGTGCCAGGTGAGCAAGAGGATGGGCAGAGACCCCAGACTCCTGCCAGGGCTGAGAGAGTGCAGCCTTTAGCCAGATGAGTCCTTCGCTGAGAACCTTTGGTCTGGGGGCTAAGCCACCATATCTGGAGGCCCAGCCGCAGGACGCTCTGCCAGCCCCCCAGGGAGGATGAGCTCTTGGATCATGCATCTGGCTCCCTCCTCTACTCCACTTGCTCTGGGGGCCTGGTTTTAGCGTAGGGTGGAGGTGCTGGTTGGGTGGAGCTGGCCCAAGGGAGAAGAGTCAAAGCAGAACTGTAAGGCAAGTCAAGGGCACTGACGCTGTGCAGCATGGAGAAGGGAAGGCCCTAGGGCCACATGGCAGCAGTGCTCCAGCTTCTGAAGCTTGTCTAGGGGGTAAAGGACAGAAATTTGGTTAAAAACGAAGCAGCATGGCTGGGCACGGTGGCTCATGCCTATAATCCCAGCACTTTGGGAAGCTGAGGCGGGCAGATTACCTGAGGTTGGGAGTTTGAGACCAGCTTGACTAACATGGAGAAACCGTGTCTCTATTAAAAATACAAAATTAGCTGGGTGTGGTGGGGCATGCCTCTAATCCCAGCTACTCGGGAGACTGAGGCAGGAGAATTGCTTGAACCTGGGAGGTGGAGGTTGCGGTGAGCCGAGATGGTGCCATTGCACTCCAGCCTAGGCAACAAGAGAGAAACTCTGTCTCAAAAAAAAAAAAAAAGAGGATGCAGAAGCATGGGCGTAAATTACCCCTCAAAATATGAAAGAACTTGAACTAGCCACGAAGTCATGATGCGGAGATAATCTTTCCGTCTTTGAAGTCATCCGGCAGAGATGGATGCCTGTCCTGGGTGGGAAGGGACTGAAAGGGTGATGTGATGTCCCCTGTGTGTCCACCCATGCGAGGCCACAATGAGGCGAGGCCGGGTAACTGCCAGAATCCTCGATGGCTTCGTTTGAGTTTTTCTGCTCTTCTCTGCTCCACCCCAAGTTGCACACAAGCCCCAATCTTGTCCTGTAGCTCAGTGCAGTCCCCCAGCAAACCCTGAGGAGCTCCTCAGAATTGTGTCCACTGGGCTGACCGAGCAGGTGCCCAGGTTCCCAGGTTGCACAATTCTAAGGTCACCCAGAAGGGGACTGGCAGTGTCAAGAGGGTCTTGACCGGAAACAGGACCCACTCTGCCACCGCACTCTTCTTCCTCCCAGAGTGGAAAAGAGTCTCCCCTGCTCCTGAACCATGTCAACATCACCAGGACCATGCCTGTTGAGTATCTCCGTGCCCACACCAATGCCAGCCTTTCCCAGACCCCGGTCACACTTGCTCTCCCATGCTCCTGTGAGATGGGTGTAGCCAGTGTGTTGCAAGGATGAGATGGCACATCAGAGGGGCTTGCTGTCTAGCCCAGGGACCCCCACTTAAGTGGTGGAGGTAGAATTTGGATCCAGGTGTCCCTGACTTCACAGACAGAGCTCTTTCTTAGGCCGCCTCCCATAGATTTCAGAAGCACATTAGAAAGCCAATAGCCATTTGCAACATTTTGTTTAATCTAAAACCTACATGATAATGATGGATGATGGGCGATGCCGTTTATTAACTCTTAAAGCAATACATTCAACTAATCACCAGATACCAGCAAAATTCACATAGATCATTTTGAGAGTTCTGTAATCACCTTCAGATTAATACGATTTTAAAACAATATTTTAAAAATAGAACTCACGTTTGGTTAGGTGTCCTGGCACTGCTGGTAATGGTGTCTTTCTCTGATGGTATCAGAAATGATGGAACTTCCTTGGAGTTCATAACTGATGAAATGAGGAGTGGGATGGTGAAATGCCTTTCTCTTCTGTACACCATTCCACCTGATTGTAACATCACGAATGACTACAAGCAAAATTCTAGAACCATGTCTGAAAGAGAGGGGATCAGAGGCCGAATCTCATTTCCTGGACCCTAACAGGCACATTTAGCGCCTCTGTTTTCACTCTTCTGTTCTTATTCCCCCATCAACTTCTAAAACAGAGTAGCAAGATCAGCAGGCTGTGGCAATGCCAACTCCACATGCTCATTGCTCTAAAGGGCTCAGCACAGGTCCTTTTAAAGGCCACAACCTTCACCGTCTCCAGCCTGGGCTCTGCCCTTGCCTACAGCCTTAAGAGCAGCCTGCGCTCCAGAACTGGGTGGATGGCAGAATCACAGACAAAACAGGAAAACCAAATCTTCACTTGACCCTTTGCAAGCTAAAGCAGTACATTGGAATATGTTTTGCCTCTGCTTATTGTTGGGTGTTGCTTGCCTGGATACATGGCCCAGATGGATGACTTCTCTATTAGGGATGAAGAGGTAAATCCCAGCCTGGGGGTTGCTTTCTGCTTATGGAAAATCTACCAAGTAAAGAATTGAATGCAGAGGGATAGAGAGCCCGGGACAGAAGATGTGACGGTAGGGCTACGATGGGAAAATGAAGAGGCGCTGTCCCCACAGGACACACGGACAGCCAGGCCTTGTCCAGACTGAGCTCGGCAGGGTCCTGACACAGACCATGCAGGTGGAGCAGAGCGTACGTGGGGACCAGGTCTGTGGGCGCCTGAGCAGGACTATGGCAGAGAGGATGCATGGAGCGAGGAAATAAGATTTGGCTTTGTATAGTGAAGCATCTTGAGCAAAGACCCTATCTTGGGTATAGAGGAGAGTCTCATGGGGAAGGGGAAGAAACAGCTGGAAAAGGACCCAAGGGGCACCTTGGAGCTGGGCTTTGCAATCCCTGCTACGTAGAAGAGACATTTCAGGTGGAGAGGGAGGGCTCCTCCCCACACCCTTTCCAATATTGCATTTTGCTACCCGTTTTCCTACTAGGGCAGTCCACAATGGGACTTCATTCGTTTGATACGTAAGGCTTTAATTTTAGCCTTACACATTAGTACGGCCTTTTGAAGGAAACATTTGGCCATAGGCAGCAAAATGGAAAATGCTCATACTTTTTAACCCAGTAGCACCACAGCTAGCAACCTCTCATGGATACACTCACAAAAGTATCCCAGAGGCATGTGCCAAAAGGTGCCCCTGGAAAAGTCAGTTGTGAGAACAAAGCCTGTCACTGGGGCAATGAATCAGTTAGGGTCCAGCTGTGCGACCCTGCCCGGCAGCTGCAGAGATGGTTTCGAAAGTGCAGTGTGAGCCGGTGTCCAGGGCTGCGGCAGCACAAGGGAGCCTGCATGGAGACCCTGGTGTACCATGTGATCCCATGTATGATTGAAGTTTTTAAAAAAAAAACTATCTAGGCATATAGGCAGGCATATGGGTACAACATTTCTTCTGGAACACACACTAGAACTGGTGACTGTGGACACTTATTGAGTAGGAGAGGCAGTTGGGAGACTCTTATGTCATATTTCATGGTCCTCCATGTTGTTTGCATTTTATCCACATGGCAAAAGAGGCAGGGGCAAAGAGGTTGGGGCAGGGGCAAAGAAGGCCAAGATGCGGCAGGGAAATGCTGCATGGGCTGTGAGGCAGGCCCCCAAGCCTGAGGCTGCATGTCCCCTGGGACTTCTTGAGGCAGCCGCTTGTTCTGGCATCACAGAGCAGGGACAGTGACTGCAAGAGCCTGACCGTCAGAGGTCAGGGTGGGGCTGGAAGAGCTGGACGGCAGTCTCCCTGTGCTGCAGCTGAGAGTTGCTGTGGGATTTGGGAAGTCTGCAGCTTTCCCGAACGCCCTGGCCCCATGAAGCCCAGGCAAGCGCCACCTCTCCCCTTTTCTTGTTCGCCTTGGTATATTTGGTCACCACCATGGTTTTCTGTCCCACAGGAGATACCCCGGCTCTGACAGGACCATGCTGCAGAAGTGGCAGGTACAATGGCTCCTCCAGAGGGAGGGAAGGCAAGCCAGAGAATGGCCCAGGCCCCAGCGACCCAGAGGAAGTGTGTGGATCAACCAAGAAGGGATATTCTTTTTCTTGTTTTTATTTATTTATTTATTTTTTGAGATGAAGTTTCGCTCTTGTCACCCAGGCTCGAGTGCAATGGTGCAATCTCTGCTCACTGCAACCTCTGCCTTCTGGGTTCAAGTGATTCTCCTGACTCAACCTCCCAAGTAGCTGGGATTGCGGGTGCCCGACACCAGGCCCAGCAGATGTTTATATTTTTAGTGGAGACGGGGTTTCACCATGTTGGCCAGGCTGGTCTCTAACTCTTGACCTCAGGCAATCCACCTGCCTCAGACACTCAAAGTGCTGGGATTACGGGCGTGAGCCACCACACCTGGTGGGGATCTTATTTATTTGCCAAAATTTCGCAGACATTTCCCAGACCAGATCTCAGTGATGGAGGACGAGTCTTACACTTTGGAGTCAGAGCTGGGGAATGTGCATATATGTGTGTGTGTGTGTGTGTGTGTGTGCACGTGTGCATGCACACCTGTACACTGTGGATGCTTCCGAGTGGGTACACACACCCTGTTTGTGAAGATACACATGTATACAGCCACATGGGGGGCAGGGCATGGGTGTCACTTCTTGTTCCTGGAATACACATGTGGCTCCCAGCCTGGACAAGCTGACATTCAGCCCAGGGTTCTCAGAGAAAGGAATAGACCCCAAGAGAGGCAGTTGTAGAGACTGGGGGATGAGAAAGTAGATTTCAGTCACCCAGGTCCAAAATCCTCTCCTAAGGAGCAGGCTGAGGAAAGGAGAGCCCCTAAGCATATAGGGGCTGTCAGAGATGACAGCTATATTGCATTGCTCACTCATTTGGCGGCCTTGGTGGATTTTATTCCCCGTACAGGCCCTGTCTCCATTTATGACTGTTCCTCTGGAGGCAGAGGGCCCCTAAGAGTGAGCATCACCCCAACAGGCAAGGACAGAGAACGGGCACTCTCAAAGTCCCAGAGGAAGCCAGACCATCGAGCCCGGGAGTGAGGGCCTCTGTCTCTGGGACTGCCATGGCCCCTCTGCTTATTTTCTTACCTTTAATAGGTCAGCAATCAGTTCACCCACAGCATATGTGCTATGATTTTAGTGAACTTCTGAGTATTGCATCCAACAGTTAACACAAAAAAATCTTTTATCCTTGGTGGTGGATGCTGAACTGCATTGGGTCATTTTACTGGCTGACTCTGCTTCCCAGATACACTTGCCTCTGTTCGTGGGTGGGTCCTGAGTTGGCGCCAGCTCATGTATGAGATGTGTAGGAAGTGACCGAACGGCCGGAGGCCTGTCCTCACCCACAGAGCCAGGGCCTGCTGCTGAGGCCCAAGGGTGAAACCCCTGGTTTTGGGGGAGCATCAAACGTGTTTGGTTTTTCCTCTTTCTGTCTCTTTTGACAGAAAAGGGACATCAGCAATTTTGAGTATCTCATGTACCTCAACACCGTGGCTGGGAGAACCTGCAGTGACTACATGCAGTACCCCGTGTTCCCCTGGGTCCTTGCAGACTACACCTCAGAGGTAAGGTCCTCCTGTAGAACCCACAGCTGCCTTCAGACTTTTAGACCCCTATAACAGAGACCCTCAGTCAGCATGCAGAACCTCTGCTAGGAGTTTCCATCACGTGAACCTGGGTACCCGAGCCTAATGGCTGCTGAAGCTCAGATCTCTTTTTTTTTTTTTTTTGAGATGGAGTCTCACTCTGTTGCCCAGGCTGGAATGCAGTGGCACCATCTCTGCTCACTGCAACTTTCCCCTCCCCGGTTTAAGCGATTCTCCTGCCTCAGCCCCCTGAGTAGCTGGGATTACAGGCATGTACCACCAAGCCCAGCTAAATTTTTTTGTATTTTAGCAGAGATGGGTTTTCACCACATTGTCCAGGCTGGTCTCAACACTTGACCTTAAATGATCTTCCTACCTTGGCCTCTCAAAGTTCTGGGATTACAGGTGTGAGCCACCGTGCCTGGCCTCAGATCTCTTAACCCCGTGTTGGCCTTTGGTGTTTGGCTGCTCAGGTTCCTGTCCTGGCTCTACCTGCGGAATGATCAACACCACTAGCATAATTGCTAACATGAGCCCCAGGGGGCTTCCTGGCTTACTCTTCACAGTGAAGGCACCTGACGCCATCTACCAAGATGGTGCCAAGGGTCAGCTCTTGTGGGGAGAGGCAGTTACAAGTGAGGTGGGCTGTGGAATTTGTTCCTAAAATCAACGTGTGCAGGGAGTGGGGCTGGGGAGGAAAGGAGAGAGAGACACACACAGAGATACAGACACACAGAAAGAACAAGCCACTCTCCCTGTAGCTTAAGTCCAGCAACAGAGATGTTGGCGTCTGGGCCTCCTCTGAGATCTGGACTGACATGTGTACTGACAGGGGAGGCTGATGGCAAGATGGCAAGAACAGACCCTTCGTCTCTTTTAGCCTCTACCCCTGGGCCCCAGCAGGCAGGGAACAAAGGGGGAGAAAAACCCCACGGCAGGACCAGGATGATGTCTGTGCTCCTGTGGGGACAGCCAAGCTATGGAGCAGTGTCCCGGCCACCTGGGCCCTGGCCACCCAGAGAGGTGCTGGGCCGTGTGTAAAGCACACAAGGTGGCTGGGCCACTTTTCAGATGAGCCTGGCCAGTCCTACCTAGGGCTGCTTGGATGGCAGACCCTCGGGATTTGGGTGTGGGAGACTCATTCCTTTGTGACCTCCCATCCCGTCTTAAGACATTTAATGCAGGGAAACTAGCACTGGCTACTGCATAGTGCACTAATGGTCCATCAGAGACCGAGGCACTTCAGACACAAAACCTACTCACATGTTGCAAAGGGTGGTTTGAAGGTCTTTTTGTTTAGGTCATACTGGGTATTTAAAATCTTGATTATTTATCAACACTTAAAAATTAGGGGATTTCTCCTTTAAAAAAATCTGGATTTCCAATATCTTTTGGAAAACCATGAGACCTGGCAACTAGGCATTTTCCTGAGCTGGCGAGGTTGCTGAAGCTGAATGTGGGTCTCAGTGTGTCCCCTCCAGCACTCACTGGGATCTTAAGAGGGGCCATCTCACCCTTGCACCTGCTTCCCCCTGGCTTGTGCAGGCATTTGAGATAGTGACACTTGGGCCCCCAGTGGACCTTTGAGGATTCACTACTAGTGGAAAGAAACAGTTATGAGCCTGGCACAGTGGCTTACACCTGTAATCCCAGCACTTTGGGAGGCCGAAGCAGGAGGATTGCTTGAGCCCAGGAGTTCGAGACCAACCTGAGCAACATAGTGAGACCCTGTCTCTGTCAAAAATACAAAAATTTACCAGGCATGATGGCTCACACCTGTAGTCCCAGCTACTTGGGAGGCTGAAGTGGGAGGATCATTTGAGCTCAGGAGGTCGAGGCTACAGTGAGCCAGGATCATTCCACTACATGCCAGCCTGGGCGACAGAGTGAGACCTTATCTCAGAAAAAAGAAAACAGAGAGATACACAGGTACCTCCTCCTATAAAGAAATGCAAACCCCAGAAAATCTTGGCTCCTCTGTTAACACACAGAACATTAAAAGAAAAAGTCTCCCAGAAAACCTGGCCCTGCAACTCGTCCAATTTCCTCTGCAGTGTATTCCAAGGGAGGGAAGGGGCGGTCACAGCATGCTTTCACTGCCCAGAAAGGAGTGGGCCTCCAGGAAAAATGAGCAAGTTCCTCTCATTTCCTCCCCAAACAGATGACTTCTAACTTTCTATAAAATCAGTTTGATTCTAAGCAAGGACTCTGAACTACTGGAGTAAATTATGCAGTTTAGAAGCCAAGTGCCTCATAGACAACAGGAATTCTTTTAAAGTGTCTTTTCAGTAACTGGTGGCCACGTTCTGATTTGGGTCAACTTGGAACAGGTTGAGTGTGAACTCAGTCTTCCCCTCCTCTTATTTTTCATCTCTCCCTTTTTAAGTCTTTGTGGATCACTGGCTCTGGGGCCATAAAACCCTAGCCCGCCAGCTAACCACCAGAGAGGGGTCAGACCAAATGACAGTAAACCAATAAAGAGAACCATAAAACTCAAGAGTGTGGCTCCCAGGGCACAAGTGGGTCGGGGGAGTTAACTCCAGCCGCACATCTGCCTTCTAGACATTGAACTTGGCGAATCCAAAGACTTTCCGGGATCTTTCAAAGCCCATGGGGGCTCAGACCAAGGAAAGGAAGCTGAAATTTATCCAGAGGTATAAAGAAGTTGAGAAAACTGAAGGTGAGTATTCAGCTTGACTCTTTGTGCAGTGTTATTCACCTGGATGCCCTGAAATGATCGTTGATAAGAGTTAAGGTGGTCACCTAGCCTACAAGTGATTACATTTGCATAGAGGACTCTAACCTGGCTGTAGGAAGTACCTGGGGAGCTTCTAGAAAATACTGATGTCCAGGTCTCACCTCTAGAAATTTGGATTTAAATAAGTCTGTGGTGTGGCACAGCCCAGGGGATTCTAACATGCAGCCTGCCTGGAGACGTATGATGTTAAGAGGCAGTGACTCCATACCTAGGGGCAGGCAATGGCAGAAGGAACTAATGTTCATTCAGCACTTTCTGTCAGGGCCAGGCCAACCTGCGTTGGTATGAGCAGTGGTCCATTCCATAGAGAAGGAAAATGAAACTCAGAGAGTTTAAGCAACTTGCTCAAGATCACTGCCTCTAAACAGCAGAGCCTGCATTTGTGACTCTAGTTCTCAAACTTTGTCCATCTGCGCGTCATCTTTAGACATTTTGCCACATTCATGTGCCACCTGTGTTCGTATGACTTAAATCTTTTTCTTTAGGTCTGTTCACTTCCTAAACTTCAATGAATGTATTTTTTAAATGCCATTTATGAACATAGTGTAGCACACTATCTGCCACACATGAGCACAGGTAGGGAAGCAGACCTCAAGCATGTGTTTTTTGTTGCAGGAGACATGACTGTCCAGTGCCACTACTACACTCACTACTCCTCAGCCATCATTGTTGCCTCCTACCTGGTCCGGATGCCACCCTTCACCCAGGCCTTCTGCGCTCTGCAGGTGAGCTCTCACCACTCTGCGTCCACATGCACATGCATACACAGACACACACACACAGAGCTGTATCACACAGACCAAGACCTGGGCTTGAACAAGATGGAACACCTCTGCTAAAAACTCAGTCATTAGCCAATAATTCCCAGTTGTCGCTGGCTCCAGGATTCTGGTCCTCCAGCCAAGGCAGGCTGTTTTTCCTCAGTTACACCTGCACATCTGCCCAACAAAGTCTTGCAAAATGATTCTAAAAATTAAGAAATGAGACATGAAAAAAGATTTGATATAAGTAAGATTTAGTGGAAAAAGAAAAAAACAGGAAGCTTGGAGACTAGACAGGCAGGTGGTCAAGGATTAGAAAAATAAATGCAAGAAGGAACAATGAAAAGAATATGACTCAAGACATCGGAATGCATAAATCTATACCAAGTATAAACTGAAAGGCTTCGAAGAACAAAACTAACTTACTACCCATACGCCAACAGACCATTATACCAGATTAGGGTTGCCAGGTTTTAAAAAAAAATACAGGATGCCTAGTTGAACTTGAACTCCCAGTAAACTATGAATTATTGGTTGTTTAAATGAAATTTAAATTTATCTGGGCCCCCTGTACTGTACGTGGCCAGTGTGGTGTCCGAGTGTTGTTGGGGGGTGGGGATGGTGTCAAAGGCGTGTGGGATTTCTGGGACAGGGTCTTTCATGGGCAGTGCTGTGAAGATGCTGAGAAGCTCCTTTCCCCTCTTCCCCTCACAAACCCAACACTGGGATTCCGCTTCCAAGGAACCCCTTATCCCAGGGGCACAGCTTTTGAATGGGGAGAATCCTCAGATAGGCCAGCTGGCTCAGCTAACTCTAAAATAAAGATAGCACAGGGCCTGAGTGTATGGGCTGCCCAGATCTAGATCCTGCAATGGTCCACTGGGGAGAAAGGCATAAGCTGGGGTGGGCAACAGGCCACTGAACACACAGACTTGCTCTGACACCTAAGCCTCATCTCAGAAAAGCCTGGGTGTCCTAAGAACTGTGCATTGGGTCTGACCTTACCAGCCAGGTCACTGTGGTCACTCAGAAGACCTTGACCCTGAGAGACCAAAGGCCACCCTGCGTCAGCACTAAAGCTGACTCTGAGCCCTGGGGCAGGAATGGGTAGGCAAGGTCAGGTTACTTTCTCTAAATAAGGAACAAATGCCCTCCTGTCTTGTTTCTTGGCACAGCCTTCTCTCCCCTTAACGGCATAACTTGTCTAGACATTGTATAACCTCCTCTCCCTGGAAATTCACTCAAAAATAATAAGTGTGCTTTCTCTGAGCCTTTCTCAGGCAACAAGCATTTCAAGTAAGTTTTGTTTGGAGAACAAATGGTCCCAGAGCTGCACCCCATGCCAGGAATCCCATCCAGATGTTGCTCATTAATCCACAAGAAATGATGTTCACCGTTGATGATGATAGTGATGGATTCCACCACTGGTTTCTATCCAGGGAATTTAAGTGTTCAAATGTTCAGGATACTTTCAGAGTTTCCCCTTGCCCCTTCAGGAGGCTGCATTAAACCCAGAACACCAGCTCTACCTGTTTCTAAGGATCTTTTCACATCGGGAGGAGACAGAGTGAAATAGAAACAGCCTTGGCTGCGAGATTTACATCACAGCTCTGCCATTTAATAAATACAAAATCTTCTGCAAGTTATTTTACCTCTGGAAATGAGGGTTAATTATGCACATCTCACTGGGCTATAGGCAGTTGAGAAGATTAAATGAGAAAATGTGGAGAGAGCCCCCAGCTCAGGGCTTGACGCTACCTAGGTGATCAATCACTGTTAGTTCCCTTCTTCCCTCTGCAATCAGCCAGATCTAATCTGAGTAGGTCTGAACTTGTCCAGGCTGGTCCCCTCTGGTTTAAGCTAATATAAGGCAGTCTGCAGTGCATCAAAGTATTCCAACTTAGCATGAGCCAGGCCTAACAGGTGTGCTGTGAACCAATGAGGATGTCTGGGCTATGGCCACTTTGAAGCTAATCACTGGTTTAAGCTTATTTTAGCCAGTTTGGTCCATTGGTGACCAGGTAAACTCGTTTGAGTTGGTCTACACCAGTGTGAGAGGGTCAGAACCAATTGCCCATGCTTTTAAGTGACACAAATGCAGTCCTCTTAGCTTGAGCCCTTTTGACTCCCCTGTTGAAGCCCCTGATGTGACTGAATTTTGGGGCTCAGATTTGTCTTGGGTAGATTGGCCCATCCAAGTTGGAATCATCCGGGCTCTCTCCACTTGCTTCTGAATTGGGTCTCACTTTCCTACTTTTAAATTACTCTTCTGGTGGGTCACGCCTGGTCTGAGCCTTTGAACCAGCAAAAGAACCAGCCACCTTTCATTTTTTACTTAGGAAAAAAGAATTTTAGCTCTTGAGGGAATGAATATAAAAGCTACATAGGCTACCTCTGTTGGGGGACATACCAGGCTCCTCTTTGAGAGTGCCAGAATCTCGGCACACGTCCTTAGGAATTTTCTGGCATCTTCCTGAATTCAGGCTCTTCCCTCCATCTCACCCCACCTCCCAGGGGGAGGCCCGTCTCTTCTCCAGAGACCTTTGCTTCACCCTTGAGGTAACTGGAAAGGAGCCTCCCATAGTCTCAGCAGCCCAAGGCACTGCCTCCAGCCTGGGGTGGATGGAGGAGTGGGGAAGAGCAAGAGACATGGGGAGGCTGCGGAACCCAGGCACGGAAGCCAGAGCTGGTGGACGTGTGAGAGTCAGCATGGGAAAGTGCATGTGTCTCCATTCCGCTTTGAGCAAATGCTACCACCCGCCTACTACCACAGATAAGCCAGAGTGGAGGCATGTGTGGTGAGCCTGGGGCTCACGTCCCGGCATCCCCAGCTGCTGCATCTGACTTTACACAGATCACTTTCTCTCTCTGGGGTCCAGTCTCCTTGTTGTTGAGATAAAGGAGGTGGGTGGGAGGATCGCCTCGAAGGCCCTTCCACAACAGCTCTATCCTCTGTTTGCTCACTAAGCACCTACTTTGCACCTGGATGGTGCTAAGTACCTTACAACTGTTATTTAAAACATATGCTTATTTATTGCGGTAAAATATGCATAACATGAATTTTGCCCTTTTAACCATTTTTAAGCGTGGTGGCATTAGGTGCATACACACTGCTGTGCAGCCGTCGCTGCCATCTGTCTCCGTCACTTTTTCATCCTCCCAAACTCAATCTCTGTACCTGTGAAACAATAACTCTCCAATCACCCCTCCCCACAGCACCCAGCAACCACTGTTCTACTTTCTGTCTCTATGAATGACTACTCTAAGCCTCTTATAAGTGGAATTATGCAACGTTTGTCCTTTTATGACTGGCTTCTTGCATATAGCATAATGTCCTCGAGGCCCATCCATTGTTGCCGCATGTGTCAGTTTCCTAAGGCTGAATCCTGCACCCCGTATGTGTAGACCACATGTTGTTTATCATTTGTCCATGGCTGGGGTGCTTCCTCCTGATGCTGATGGTGAAGGGGGCTGCTGTGAATACTGCTGTGCCTCATTGGACCCTCACAAGCTTGTGAGAAGCTGCTGTGATTAATCTCAGGATACTGAGTCTCTGGGAGGTCATGTCCCGCAAGAAATGACAATGGAGATGAGGCAGGTTCCAGTCCTGGAGCCACCGAGCCTAAAACACTCATGGTAAATAAAAACAAGGCGGGGTCTACAGAGGTTGTCCAGAGGGGACACAGTGCTCAGAGGAAAGGGACACATGCCATTTTCAAGGCCACATTTTCAGTAGAGCAGTGGGGAGTCCCTCGTGCAGCATCACACACAGGCACACATGCATGCAGTGTGATACGTAGGCAGTCACCCGGCGCTGCAACAGGAATGCAGTGTGCCGGCTTCCTGTGTGTGCAGCATGGCCCCTGGCGCCCCCAGTGCACAGTGACAGAGAGCACAACAGCTCTGTCGTGGAGCACCTTTGCTGTCACGTACTGTATGCCTGTGTGGTCTGCTGGCTTGTGGGGAGGCGGGCATGGCGTTCTCTGGGCACTGTGGCCCGTTCACCCTGCACCGTACAAAGACTGGACAGCACGGACATCTCCTACAGCAGTGCGGTACATTCTGAGCCCTGGGTATAAGAAGTGTTTTATTGCTTTCATGTTTAAATGTTCTTAAGTTTGAGCTGGTCTTAGAATTGATTCACACTTATATCCTTGATGCGCTTGTTTTTGTTTTTCTGTCTCAAGTCTGTTATTACAATGATAGATTTTTACAATCCAGAAAATATGGTCTATGTATATGCTGTGTGATCTGAGCAGGTGGCACATGCAGGCAATGTGACCAGGCATGGGTCAGCTGTGTGCTCTGTTTTCCCCACTTTCTTGGAGGTGTGTGAATGGCTGGCTGCTAGGGCAGAGGGCTTGTCTCCCCCAATAGCAGCCCAGGATGCTGTAGTTCCTTTGTTCATTTGTTTTTGAGACAGGGTCTTGCTCTGTCACCCAGGCTAGAGTACAGTAGCATAATCATAGTTCAGAGCAGCCTGGAACTCCAAGGCTTGAGCAATTTTCCTGCTTCGGCCTCCTGAGTAGCTAGGACTATAGAGGTGCACTACCATTATTGGCTAAAAAAAAAAAAAAAAGCCACACACATTTTGTAAAGATGGCGTCTTACTTTGTTGCCCAGGCTGGAAAATGCTGTAGTGTTTAGGAGTCTTGCATGCCTAAAGTGAGAGTCTGTGAGCCTCCAGAAAGTTGAGTCACCAGGAGGTCAGGCCCCTGCTGTGGTCCCAGCCCAAGCACCTGTTTCTGTCCCAGTAAAAGCACCAGTTGCTCTCAGGCCTGAGATCAGACCCAGCCGAGGTGTGGCGCAGCAAGGCAGCCGGCACCCAGCGAAGACACAGCAGCAGTGGCTGCTGCTGCATTTAATAAGAAACAGAAATAAAGTGCTGTGTTAATTAAGTCACAGCCCATGTGAAGTCAGCTGTTACCAGCAGTGGGGAAGGGTTTTCCGAACCACCTGAGGCG